AGACACCTCCCTGTCGATGTCCGCTCCCGGCCGGCAGGAAGGACACACGACAAAGTCTGGTAGTGGACAACCTTTTCTTTTTATTTTCCTTCTCCGTACAGCCTGCCCTGGGTTTTCCCAGCTGAAGCCTCCTCTGGTCCGCTCCCCGCGGCTCCTTTTGTGCTTCAGTCTGCCCCAAAGCCTCTACCGGTCCGCTCTCCGCGGCTCCTTTTGGGCTTTTACTTCCGGGCTTTTATCTGGCTTCTTCTTCTGCCCAGGGGTGGCACCGGTATATATACGGGTACAGTGTCCAATCATGTTAAAGTAAGCAAGGCAAGCTGATTGGCTAACATCATCAGTTGCCAGGCAGACTATATTGTTGAGCGGGTTGTTTACGCGGTAAGCAGGAAACTAACATATTCGATGGGAGGGGTAATCTACCTCAGGCCTCACTCTTTACTACAGGCCTCATGTCCGCCAAGTGAGGCGACCGGGCTCGGGGCTGCGGCTCCCAACATCTCCCCCTTTTTTATTTTTTATGAATGTGCGCATCGTAGCCCTTCCTGGACTGGGTGCAGAGGCTTATGCCCTATGCGTAGGCCCACCGTAGGTCCTTGGCTTAGACCCTGGTCGGCCGTCCCATGGTCTGCCAAGGCCCTGAGGCCCTCGTCCTTTTTCTAGGGCCAGGCACAAACTGGACGGAACCTGGATGCACACAAGCTTGCACTCATTCTCTCTCCGTAAAGAAATCCCCTCGGAGAGAAATTTAGACCTGGGCAGCATCTAACAGTCCAGCGGCTTACGTGCAGGATGGGGTAGGGCCTGGCTTAGGTCGAGTCATGCTGGGGAGGCACGCTCTTACCCGTCATTGACTCATCTACCCTGCTATATCATAATTTTTTAGAGGAGGAGTGTGGGAAGCTCACCGTCCCTAGACTCGGTCGTAGGCTAGGCGAGCGAGCCATGCATATGCCTGAGGATCTTCTTGTCCATTTCGGGCTACCACTATTTCTATTCATCTTGTTGGTTGGTCTGTGATGGATCTCCAGTAGGGCAGGTCTGATCTTTAGTCGAGGGCTTTGTTGCCCGTGTCAGTCTCTCCGGTATCCACAGTGGTTCTCGTCCCGGTTCCTGTGGGAAAACACAAACCGCGCCTCGGTTCCAGCTGATTACCGGATCCGGGCCCATCCATTGTCCTGTCAGGACATCTTTCCACTTCACCCACCCTTTATGGTTGGGGGAAGGGTTGCAGTGCTCCACAGCTGGGGAGCGATTATCATTATTTAAATTTAAAAAATTGTGTGTGAATAGTGCCATGGATAATCGTGCCTTTGGGGCCAGGCCTTGGCCTACTCCCCCTTTTTGTTTTTTATTTTTTATTTTTTATTTTTATCTTTTTTGGTTTTTTTTTTTTTTTTTTTTTTTTTATTGGTACCAGGGATCGAACTGGCGATTGCCTGCTTACAAGGCAGGCGCTTATGCCGCTAAGCTAAATCCCCAGCTCCCATTTCCTCGACCGGCGTTTTTCTCAGCCTGCTCGGCAGAGAACTCTGTGTACCAGGCTCGCCAATCCAGGTAACTACCCGAGGGCAGACACGCCTTTGCCAGCTGAATCCAGTCCGCGGGGGTGAGGGGCCCAGAAGACAGATTCTCCAGCATGGCAATGGTGTAAGGCGCAGTCGGCCCAAAGGTTGTAACTGCATTTTTAAGTTCTCTAATCTGCTTTATCTCAAAAGGCTCCCATACATTGCGTCCCTGGCCCATAGCTACTTGTACAGGAAATATCTCGTAGGGGCCACTATCTATCCCAGGTGGATGTACCTCATGAGACAAGCGTCCCCCCTGCCAAAGCCGCCTGTAAAAATACCGACCCGCCGGCGGCGGAGCATAAGACGGCGGCCGTGATTGGGCGGAAAATGGGGGCCCGTGCATCACTTCCTGTTCTGGCGAAAGGGGAGGGAGCTCCCAGGCGGCCGCCTCGTGGCGAGGGACCGCCTCCCTCTCGCGCCGGGGCGCACTCAGGAGCTCTCTACTCCTCCGCAGACCAGGTTGAGCAGAGCGCAATTCGCGGCGTGACGCTGGAAAAGAACCCTGCGACTCCTTATTGAGCGACTTAGGCTCCTGACAGCTGGTCTCTTTGGCCTCCCTGCCATTCAACTTTCCCTCGTCCTCGGAGTCAGACGACTCCGAGGCTAGAGCCCCGTCCTCCTCCTTAGCATCCTTGTTCCCCTTGACAGACACCTCTCGGGAGCTCCCTGACTGGGCCTGCTCAGATACCCTGCGTACTTTTGTAAGCTCTTGAGAGCTTTCTCCACAACCACCCTCGCTCTTAGTGCCGCTACCTAGCATGTTTCCCATTTTTTAATATGTTACTCACCGCGTGAGGCCCAAGGAATCCGCCACTTACGCGTGAGCCTGAGGGGAGTCTAAAAGCCCTGTAGGTGCGCGCCACCCAGAGCCCAGGCTTATCCTCAACTCACCTGTCTCGCAGCTCTGTACTGGAGCGTTGTCCACTTCCACGTCGCGGGGGTGATCAGTCCCCGTACGGGCCACCAAATGTCGATGTCCGCTCCCGGCCGGCAGGAAGGACACACGACAAAGTCTGGTAGTGGACAACCTTTTCTTTTTATTTTCCTTCTCCGTACAGCCTGCCCTGGGTTCTCCCAGCTGAAGCCTCCTCTGGTCCGCTCCCCGCGGCTCCTTTTGTGCTTCAGTCTGCCCCAAAGCCTCTACCGGTCCGCTCTCCGCGGCTCCTTTTGGGCTTTTACTTCCGGGCTTTTATCTGGCTTCTTCTTCCGCCCAGGGGTGGCACCGGTATATATACGGGTACAGTGTCCAATCATGTTAAAGTAAGCAAGGCAAGCTGATTGGCTAACATCATCAGTTGCCAGGCAGACTATATTGTTGAGCGGGTTGTTTACGCGGTAAGCAGGAAACTAACATATTCGATGGGAGGGGTAATCTACCTCAGGCCTCACTCTTTACTACAGGCCTCACGTCCGCCAAGTGAGGCGACCGGGCTCGGGGCTGCGGCTCCCAACACCTCCCTACCTCCGGGAGTTAACAGGTCAGGGGTAAGAGGAACTTGCAGGGGCAGTGCTCAGCTCAGATTGGGGTCCTCAGGGGGTGCTTCTTTTAGGAAGTGCTGTTTACAGTCAGGACCAAAGGAGGAATAAAATGTACAAAAGGAAAGGGGACCTGTGAGCTGGTGAATGGGGGAGGGAGGTCTGGTCACCAATGGCAAGGATCCCTCTGGCTGCTGCTCAGACAGGACTGGCGTGAAGTAGGTGGTGGATCATAAGGCTGTGATTCCTGCCTCTTCTCCCTTAAAACAGCAAGGGGCTAGAAAGCAAGAAAGTTATCCTGTGGCTTTCCATTCTGAGATACAGCGTTCTCACTTTCTCTCTGGCCACTTCTGTGTTATTCATGTAAACATCCTGCCCAGTCAGCCAGCTCCAAATAGAATCTGTTTATAGTCAGTGTCACCCAGTGCATAGATTCCAGAACCAGCCTTAGATGAATCCAAGGTCTTCTGTCCGTCATTAACCCTGTTGACCCTCCATCTGAAAGAGCTCTGGAATCTCCTTGCTCCTCCCCTTGCCCTAGTCCTGTCCTTGCCAGTCACCAGCTCAGACTGACTTCCTTCTGACACGCACATTGGTTGTGTCACATAGACATTAGCCATAGTGTACCGCTACCTTGGTGGTCCTGTCAGTTTTCTCTGCAGAACCCGCAGCCTCAAATTTCAGGGATTTAAAACAACAAACATTTGTGATTTCTCCCTACCCTGTAGGTTCATGGGTGTTTCTTCTGAGCTGTGCAGCTTGGCTGGAGTCTGAAATTGCCTCTTTTGGCCACATGCATGAATCTGAGAGGTTGGTTAGCCTGGCAGGTTGCCCTAGACTTCCCTCCATTCGGTTTCTCATGCTCGGTGGGGCTGGTCCCGGACTGCAAAAGTGGCATCAGAATGACTATCTGCAGCAAGAAAGGGGCACTTGATTCCTAAGCACTTTTGGAGGAGTACTTGGGTTCAAACCCAGAGCTTACAAATGCTAAGTGTATGTTCTGCCTCTCAGCTACACCAAGACCCCTGCATAAGCACTTTGAAAGCCTTTATTCATGTCATACCTCTTTTTGTGCCATTGGCCAAAACAAGACATGGCCAAGTACAGATTCTAAGCATGGAAAAATAGACTCCCTTTATGTCAGGAGGAATGGCCAAGCCACTCTGCAGAGGGTTATGCATACAGGTGCCCCGAGTGAATCAAGCCCATTACTGCATCATGGTGACTCTGGATCCAGACACAATGGCACTATTTTTTGCTGTGCTCAGTTTTCTGGTGCTCACTACCTTGGCCATCAGGCAAGGGTACTCACAGAAGCTCTTCAGGGCTCTGCTGCCCATTGATAATATGGGAATCATTGGATGACAGTCTGCATAACATCAGATAAGAAAATGTGTAGTTTGTGTATGGATGACCTGGGGACCACAAGAGCTCAGCCAGTTTCTGTCGCTACTCTTGTCAGCTGAAATCTTCTGAAACCCCTTCCTGTGTGCTGTTGGCCTGCTCAATCCCGGCGAGACTCACACTTGAACTGCCACATCTTAACCTGTTTTCCTCAGTCCTTGGAGATGCTTTTCATGACCTTGCACTTGCACCTCCCTGAAGCAGTGGCTAAAATCTACCCTGCTTTCCACGTTCCTCTTCCATTCCTCTTCTGCCTCATTATCCCAGTAACGCCCTTGTCTCATGAGCTGATGCATCTGTGCTTTGTCTTGTTTCTGCACCAAGCTTCGGCTCCCGAGGGCAGGAGTCAGGAGTTCTTTGCCCTCTATCCCTACTCTGAGCGTGGGGCAGAAGCTCTGCTATGGTGGAGGACCTGGGTGAGGAATGAGTGTTGGCATGGGAGAGTGGACAAGTGGGTGGATTATTTTCTTCACTTTGAGTCATCTTGAAAAAGCAGTGGATGGAGTAAATGTCAAAGCTGACTTGCTCTGTCTTTCTTCTTTCCATTTTCAGATTCCACCTTCCTTGGCTGGAAATGCCAGTGGCAGGCAGTTAACACTCCGAGCAGAAGTGTTAGTCCTTAGTTGCTGAGCAGAAGGACTATTCTACCTGTGCCTAGGGAGAGATGGCCTCTTGGCCTTCTGAGGTGAGTGCTGTGAGATGTAGTCTTCTCCAGAAGCTTCCAAGGACTGTGTTGCAGGGGGAGGGGAGATGCTGTGCTGTTTCATGGTTCCTTTGTAATGCTGACTGCTCTGCCAGAGTTCCTCTGGGGAGACTCCTCCCTCTGAGAGAAAGGACAGACCTGAAGAAGTCTCAGGCAGCCTCTCCTGGCCCTGAAGGGAGTTTCTTTCAAGTTCTCATGAAAATTGATAAGCAAATGCTCAGAGCAGGAACATCCTTCTAGGACAGGTACCAACCCTAACCCTAACCCTGAAGAAGGCCAAGCATAATGCTTCACTGTGTTCTGGAGCAAGTGTTATAGCACGGCCTGTGAGACACACCTGGCAGGCTTGGTTTTGCAAATAAAGCACATGAGCTCCAGCCAAACCTCCCAGATCAGGAGAAATGTACCATCAAGTGAAATCAGTCATGGCTATGTGCTGTCTTCAGGCACTGAGGGTGGACTGTTTGTTATGCAGGGAAACCTGACTGACATAGCCGCATTTGAAGATCCTTTTGGCAGGTGGCCCCAAGACTTGGCAACAGGGAAGTCACTGTGACAGAGTTCATGTGTCTGCAAAGCCTGGCGTAGGTACCTTGCACTCTAGAGCTGAGCTGTCTGCCTGGGGCCACTGCTTTAAAATTAAATAGAATTAAAACTTCAGTTTTAAATCACACTGAGACTTATTTTAGGTACTCAAAAGCTACATGGGGCTGGTGGCTACCATATGGACAGAGAGGGCTGGGGATGTTTCCTTCATCAGGGAACAGTAGATCAGAAAGAGGGTCGCCACCCTGGGACATGTCACTGTACCATGCTTGCCCTAACTCAGCTTGGGGATGATTGCAGCCATTTGGAAGAAAAAAGAAGGTTGGCATGAGTAAGTGTGTGTGTCTATACAACTATTTTTGGGGTTTTATGATTATTGGTGAAAATTTCTGTCTTTTTCTCTTTGTTATGGTTACTTGGTTATGACTACACCTCCTAACTCTCTGTCTTCAAAAATACAATTATGTTTACAGTTTCTTTGGGTGGTGTGGTCTCTGCCTATAAATTCTTTTAGAAATGAAACCACATGGGCATAGGGGTTTCTTGGTTTCACAGATTAAAATAGACAGAAACACAAGCTGGAGCCCTTCAACGGTCATAGGCAGTCTCAGTGTTGGGTGTGTCCTTCTGTGATGGGAAAACACCAGTTGCCATCTTGTTTCCAACATGAGCAAGAGAGACAGAAACAAGCAGAGGAAGAAAATGTGTCCAAGAGAAGGTGTCTGGGAGTCTCGGCATGATGAGGAAGGGTAGAGGCAGAAGAGAACTGGGGTCATAGTCGTGGTCATGGGTGTAATTTAAAAACAAAATACCTATTGAACAATGTATCAGTGCTTGGGAACTCACAGTGTCTCAGAAGGGGGCTGAGAGGGTCAGCCCTGGACCTGGCAGTGATCCACCATCTTGGAAGATGGGGGCAAGACTGGCAAAACCAGAGGTTGCATGAGGTCCATAACCAGATAAAGCAAGGACTCGTACACACGTCACTAAAACGGTGTCTGCAGATGTCGACTCAGACAGAAGAGAGAAGGGACTAGATGGCCACTGGGCCTAGGCATGAGCCCCCAGGCTGGGTGTTTAGGAGCCTCCAGGCTGGGTGTTTAGGAACTGGGCTCTCTTGCGCTTGGGTTACCGGCCTTCCCTGGCCTCTGCACCAGGTTTGTGGCTGAGTCCCTGTTCCATCCCTGTCCTGCACATGCTGCAGTGAAGAACAGATGTGTTTCTGTGCTCACGGAGCTTGTGGTCCAACCTGCCAGGTGCTCTCTGCTCTTCTTGCTCCCTCCATGTTGAACCAGATGTAACTCCCAGAGGCTGTAGCATCCCACCTCTCCCCACACCTGTTGGCCCACTTGTAGAAGAGACCTGGGACCCCACGCCTTCTGTCACCTCTCATCTGTCAGCTAGTGGCTTCACAGGCAGCCTGCTCATTGTCACCCTCCTCTAGAAGGGCCAAGCCCCTGACAGCAGAGGCCAGGGAAGCCAGGTGATAGGAAACCCCCTCCCCACACATTCATGTTCATGTCCTTCCTCCTTTTGGTGTCTACACCCGTCACAACTCAGAGTCACAGTCCAAGATCTATAGCAGAAGGGACAAGACTCACCATGTCCTCACCTCCTTCAAGGTCCCCTGTGTCATCTCACTCCCTTTGTCCCCTTCCTCCTCCTGCTGACTGCAGAATAATCTTCAAAGCAATATATAATGTGGCCCAATATTTAAGTGGCAATCATACTTCTGCCTCTTATCATGCCCTCCTGTATGTAATGCCTTCTTTTGATCTCAGCTTGATTATGTGCAAAATGGACAGAATAGTTAATAGTATTAAGGACTAAATTAAGCTCATACTGTGAGAATGCTCAGAATACTACCAGATGCAGCAGTCTCCCACGGCCACTGTTCTACCTGGGATAGGTGGGCCTGTGTCACTGTGACTGTGGATGTAGATGTGACACAGCATCCTATGTTCTCATCATACCTGGCACCACCAGCCTTTAGTGACCATCTATGGGATGTGGTCTGTGAGATTTGCTTATGCTATTTTCTACCTGGCAGGGCCATCTCTGTCTTCCCAGTGTTGTTTCCTGTTGAGACTCCTGCCTCCCATTTCTGCCTCCTCATCCTCAGCCAGGGTTTTTCCTTGTGCCTGTCCTCAGGTCCTCAGCACAGGCCTCGCTGTTATCCCCAAGCTCACTGTCTTGCTGGGATGACCCATGTGCTATATGCTGTCTTTTTGGGGACAGCCCTTCCACTTCCTTCAAGGCTTACCAAGCACTCCCCTAGCCCAGTCCCTCATTGCATCTCCAACACCAAGAGGCCGTTAGAAGGCAGACACAGTGGCCATGTGGCTAAACATGCAGTAAGCTGGATAGTCGGGGGCCAGGAAGGACCCTGGGGGTCACTTTTCTCATCTTCAGCTTTGCAGGTTCCAGCCAGCCTGGTGCACTTTCTCTGACCTCTACCTCTATTTTTAGAGACCTGAAAATGGGAAGGTGGCATTTCTGTAGGCTTCAGATCCTCTAACTTTGGAATGGGCACTTTCTGGTTTACTCATGGCTTCGTCTGTGAGCCGCCTGGGATGCCTGTGGTTTCTTCATCTGCGTGTCTCCCATTGAATTAAGCAAACACACCAGGCCCACATTGCTACTGCCCTTTCTGAAGACAGAGGCCTGGCAAAGAGGAGAAAGGAGCCTGGAGGGAGCAAAGTCACCCTGCCTGCAATCCACAACCCAGACCTTGTGCTGTGCATGGTTCACATCAGGAGGCTGCTGTGTTCGCCAATAATCTCTAGGTTCACACTTTGTCATAGGTACTAAAACTTTCCTTAGGCCCTGAGGAAAACAGAAAGATGGAAAGCCTTCTAGAGGTGGCAAATTTGTTTCCTTTGTGGTTGGACAAACAGAAAGGAATTGGCACCGTGCGGTGAGCAGCACCTGCCCACAGGCACTCACTCACCTGAAGCCTTTCGACATGGTAGGAACCAGGCACCTGCCTCCCGAAACTTGGTGCTGGGGCCAAAGAGGGCCACTCAGTGGGTGTCCTGGAGTTGTCCCGAGTGGTCCTTCTGCGTGTCTGTGTCCTGTTCCATGCAGTGATAGCAGCATATTCCCATGACCACCCCTCCCCGCTGCTGTCTACCTGTACATGGTACCCATCAGTGTAGTGCCCACTGCTTTGGGTTACCTTCAGCATTTCCCTGTGTTTGTATTGGAACCGAATCCTTGAGTTGCATTCCCAGGGAAGGGATCCTGGAAGTGTCTTTTAAGAGTCTTTTGCCACTTGCTCCCAGTTGTGACTCTGCTATGGAAAGAAAAGAAGAAAGGAAATCGGGGGACAGGTACTGGAACTTGATCCCTGTAGAGATGGGGGTCAGTGCAAAGGCCAGAGATCCCAGGGCAGTGGTGAGATCATGTGACAGGGACGTGGATCTGCTTTCCATAGCCCCAGTGTCCGGGTCAAGGAGGAATAGGAGCTGGCCAGGGGGAGGCCCTGCTGAAGGGACAGCCATTGGCAGGCGGGACTTGTTCCTGATGTGAAGCAGAGTTCACCGTTGGGCCTCCCACACCTGGGCACCAGTGTGCTGACTGGGGGCACACTAGGGCACTGGTGAGCCCTAGCTGTGATTCAGGAGCTACTTGGAGCCCTACAGTTCTCCTCACGTCCATTTGAAAGTCAGAGTCCATGTATACTTTGGCACAACCTTCAGATTTAAAGGGACCCCCAGTTCCCTGTGGAATTTAGCTGCCTTTGGGCCAAGAAGGGCCCGAAGGCCCATGTTCTAGGGGGTTGCAGAGAGATGTGGCTGCAGCCGTTTCCCAGAAGATGAAGTACGCCAGCAAATGGCTCCATCAACTGCTGTCTGGCACTGCCTCAGCACCCTATCATCTGATGGAAGCACGCAGGATGGATGCAGGGAAGGAGGAGTGTAGGGATAGGTGCAGCAGAGGTGCCCTTTGGAAGCTCGGCTCTCAGTCCTGCGGAGCTCCGCCCCTGCACCCACAGCACTGGATCCTGGTCTTAGTGCTGGGGCATGTTCTATATTTTGTAGCTGGAAAGTGAGGACACTCTAACCCCAACACAACAATATTCCTACACTGGCAGGAGGAACAGCCCTGGCAACTTCCCAAGAGAACCCTTTTCACAAGGGCAATGTGGCATGAGCACCTAGCAGTTCTCCAAGCTGAAGGTCCCGGAGGACCCTCACACCATAACGGTCCATGTTCTCAGCTCTCTTACTCTCCTGGCTTATACCTTCTACCACTTACCATCTAGACACTCACTGGGAAGCATTAGGGAAATATTTATCTCATCAGTTAAAAACAGCAATCAACCATCACTTAGTAACCTAAACAACACTTTAATGAAAAATAACTGCTTAGCTGGAACAAAAATTAAATCAGTACTGTCTTAGCCATGTCTTCAGGGTCTGGCTTGGAGGACC